CACCAATTTAAGAAAAAATACATATGTTTATGTAGGTATAGGTGTAAATACTGTATCAGGAAGCGTTTATGCATTAATTATTGGTAACTGGTTAAATACACAACTCAGTGGCTGATAACAGTAAACATTTGTTTTCATGTTCATGGATGCTCATGTTCACAGTCATCTGGCTGATCAAGGAAGGGCTCTGCTGGGTGGTTCCTCTGCAGGGCACTGAGCTTGTATTCAGCCTGTAGATATCAGTTGTTTAATGACAATGCTGAACAGCAGCAACTAAACATGACACAAGATTCTTGTGACAGGTCACAGGAGACATCAACCTCCCAAACCAAACTGCACAGTTGAATTTACATACAATAATTTCTAATACAGCTTCACAAATTTTAAATATATTCCTTTATTTCAATGAGTACAAATTTTCAAGAAAATATTACTCCATTTAATTATAGAGGGGTTTGATCATTCCATGGACAAATAAATATGTTTTCAAGCTTTACAATGCTGAAAATATTTGCAAATGTAAGTTTGCATTGATAAGAAAACAAAACTGGATGTGTTTTCAACATGTGGCTTCAAATAGAATTTTTTTAAATGGCCTTTTTGGGAGAAAATCATTTTAACTTATGTAAATATCCCTCCTTACCTCTCGGGTCCTATAGAGTTGCCCAATAAGAGATCCCCCCGTGAGATTTGGAAGTCAGAAAAGGAAGACTCAATATTATCCATTGGTACCTAAGACAGGCACAGAGACAAAGGTGAGGGCTGGAGAAACACCTGGAAAGATACTCTAGGAAGCTGAGAACTTCAGCAACCTCAGACTTAAGGTTCCAGACAGAACTGAGGACCACATGGTTAAATAGCTCATACTTCAGGGGCAGATGCATTCTGTTCTCTGAGGGAGCACCAGAGAATCCTGTTTCTAATATCAACTTTCCTGAACACTATATCCTTGGCTTTGAGAGGTTGTAGTGTGAACATTAATCATAGGAATTGGGTCATTCTGTCATACCTAACAAAGACAAGAAATCAGAGGAGAGAGACACTCAAGGTGAAAAATATTGTTTCTAGAATGCAATTGAAATAGGCCCTATTATCCCACAGAACTAATGTTTATGGTTTTTTGAATAAACATAGAAATTGACTTCCTCAGTCTTAAAACTCAAGATAGTTACATCTGTCTTACCTGAGCTCTTTTTTTCAGTAAACCAAGCATCAGGCCTCCCAGATACTATCAA